GTAAGTCTCCAGAGTGCGGGATGTACATGGGGTTTCTCGTTTCAATATTTTTCCATCTGTAGAAAATCGTACAGCATGTGCACAGGTCTACCAGATAAAGATAAAAATATAAACGCAAATGCGGCAATTGAACGAGACAAGACGAAGTGCTAACGTTCCTTATGGTCTTCTTAGAAAATCGAGGAGCTGTCACATAATTAGTGTTACATAGTTAGCTGAATAAGTTAGAGAGGTAATGATCATGCCAAAAAAACATCATACGAAGGTAAACGCTATGCGGGAAACGCTTTAATTTATGATTAAAAACTAGATAGCTATGTTCAAAATGAACTTGTTTAGTAATTTATATTAAAAACCCTTATGACGGGTTAAGTACATTATGCTTGCAAAGCAGAGTTTTGTAATAGTAGGTTGATTTTATATGAGAACTTAAGATGGGAAGAAGAAGAAGAAGATACCATAGCTGGGATATATGGGTAAGAACAACAGTTGCTAATTATATGCATTATGTACTATCGCGTTCATTGCGGCCCTAACAGCTTGCAGCTACGAAGTTGTTGTTGTAAGCGAAGGCCGAGAGAAAGGGCATGCTTGGCGCTAAAGGAACTACCCTCAGGTGGATTTGCAACCGGCGGCATCGCTTTAAAAGCTTCATAAGGTTTACAAATTTCGAACCAATGGGTCTGATTAAATTCAATAACTGTAATGAATTAAATGAATTGAATTACTGCAACTGACTTAATTTCTTTAAATAGGTCAGCAGCGTAAGTTACCTCGCCAGCAGTGTGGCAGGCCATTCCAGGCCAAAAGGTGCCCAATTAACAACGTTTATCTCATTGCGAATTATATCCACTCGATACATTTTCGCTCATGATTGTTCCAACAACACAGTAATTATATCTCTTTAAATGCCGACTCGGCTCAGGTACTTGAAAGTAGAAAACGGTCCTGCTTATAAGGTAACTAGTGGACCTGAACTGTGGCTGTTATTTCAACGGGTTGATTCCAGGGTTGAGTCTGATGGTTGCGATGAGGCGGTGAAAGCTGAGAGAAGCGCAATCTAGAGGGCAGCTCTTGCTCAGATAATCGTTTTATTGGGTGTATGTATTATGCAGGAAGTCCCATTATTCCATTTTAGTTAAATCCTTGTTTCCGACATCTTGGGCCCCTGTTCGGTTCCAGCCGTAAGCGTTCTGCATAAGGCTTTCGTGATCGTCGCCACTCAATGAACTTTGGAACTACACCCCAAGGTTTCTAGCTGGATATCTTGGCGGTCTTTCCAGAAGGCTAGCAGGCGTTTGGTGTGAGCCGTGTGAATAAGCCTCTAATCCGACAATCACCACCACAGCATCCCCTTCCCCCTATTACAACAGCAGGCTGAGATTAATGAGATTAATTGCACCAGTTATCCACAGACAGCCCGAAGCACATCATGATAGCTGTTTAGAAAATACCCTGCTACATTCTTGTTGTCGTCGCCTCGGTGTTTTTAGCCGCTCGTCCATCATGGTTTCATCTGATATCGTCGCCTACTATGTTGCCGTTGCCATCATTCCCAGCAGGCTGAGCACGCCACGGCGCCGCCAACGTGGGGGATCGTGTCCCGTTGCGGAACATCGGTTAGCCGAAGGATCATTCTAGCCGCCTACGCTCAATATATCGATAATCGCTCTACGAAGGCACGAACTGGACAAGTACGTGGCATTTCATATTTCTTTTTGCGGAATCATGCTCTAGATTAGGCAGTCCTTTCATGCACGCAAATGCAGCATCTTCGACACCCATTACATGGGTATTATATCAGAGTATCTGAAGATACCAAAGCAGATAACACACCATCGAGGCTATCGTAGCACTACCTGAAGTACCCTATAAGCAGCCACATTTCGGTAACTGTTGCCTTTTTTGGAGGAGAAAGAAAGAAAGAAACCCCCTGTATCCTACTAAATGCTGCAGCCATCGCTGCTCTACACAGGCTAGCCATACCCCGTGAATAATATAATCATAGGCCAATTCCTAGCTTGAGAGTTGGCTTGTCTGAAGCTTCGTAACCATATCGAAAAGCCTGTCTAATAAGCCACGATGGACGACCTGGGACCGCTCCCGACCGATTTCACGACCCCCGCATACTGCGCAAACGAGCTCGACGACATATATAAATTGCACACCACCAACAACGTATACTACCTCCTCCAAGGCCCGTTAGCTCAAACAACTTGCTATCCGGGCAGCTTCGCCGCCATCGCGAGGCAGTACTACTCGCCCGGATTATGTCCCACCGGATTTACGGCTCCGTGTCAGACGACGAATCGCGCTGGTACCGTCGAAGAGACTATATTAACATGTTGCCCTACGTAAGTGTGTATTTTTATGGTGAGCTTGTATTCATTGTGAGATTATGATCGTGTACACAACTTGAAGTACGCTTCAGGGCAGAGACATGAAACAGTAATTAACATCTCATAAGTCAAGGGAATTACATATGTGAAACAGACCTCCCATCCGTAGGAGACGACGAAATTTTTCGGGGATGCATATCCCAGATCACAGCAACAAGTACCGTGGTTATAGGAAGCGACGTACGGGACTTCCAAACATCGCGGGTGACGCTCACACTTAACCAAGAGGATGCCATAAATGCATACTCTATTCAGGTACGGTATCAGTCCACTGACTTTATCTCGAGCTCTGCATCCTCAGTAAGTCTATATCCCCTCACTCTCTCAATATATGTCGTCGGGGTCACCATTCCACTTCAAATGACATTACTGAAGACTGATCATTAACACCATTCGCTTAGCCGACGCAAACGTCAACCTCAAGTGCAGTTCTAGAGACACCATCCGTGACCCGGACGCCACCTAGCACAAATGCGACCGCGAATAGGGCTCTACCAGGAATCATCGTCGGTGCCATAGCAGGATTTGCCATCGTCGTAGGCGCAGTGTTCTTACTAACGCGCCGACGTTATCGACAACGACGAGAACAACAATCACCGCCACAACCAACCCCCACGCAACAAACGCAGCACCAGTATCCATATCCCGACCAGCCTATTTACCAAGAGCAACCGAAACAGCAACAACATCACTTGAGCTTGTTCAATGCCAATCCAAACAATCAGGGGGCACTTGACGCACAGGGAACAATAGTAGAGATTGATGGTGGTACGGTATTACCGCGGGACGGGGGACAAATCACGGGGTTGGGGGAAAGCGCGCGATATTAGCCATGCGGCAGGCGAAGCAAGTCTCTTATGATACAAGGCTATGGTGGTGGTTGTGGCTCTCGAGACTTGCTAAGATCTATGTGAAGAGAAAGGATTGAGAGCAAACTTGACGGGAGCTTGCGCCTGGGGGCGGTTAATACTGAGCCAATTATTCTTATTCGGTCTAAAGATGCCTTGATTTCCCATTTCACTCTTTACTCTGTACTTATAGCCGTGCTTTGGCCCTTCCCCTTTTGCGTTGGGCTCTGATCGTAGGTCGGCCTTTTACATCAAGCTCGTGATTCTCACCAACCAATAGCTATTGCCTTGTAGTTGTATGTCTCGCTCTGACTTCCCTGCGCTGACCCCAACTTTCTCGTATACAACGAACTATTTCATAATCAATTTCTACATTCCTTGTTGAAGTAATTTGCTTCATGCTTCATTTAGTCTCCATCTCGTCATCTTACTACGCCAATGCAGTTTCCAATGTTGAAGGTCACGCTCCTAGGAACACTTTCAGGATCGGAAACAAATTCTCAGAGCATGGCAGCTCGGTTTCTCCATTTATTCGAGCTATCTATATGCTAGCCGGTGGTATACCATATCGACGTGGAAGGTTCGGTCGAGTTTTGGCATGGATTCTATACACTAGAGCGTTGACGCCTGCCGAGCCGATGGTGCGGAGAACAGCGACTATGATGAGTATGGCCGGAATATGTCCGGTATGGTGGCACAGGCGGCTGGGAGCACTTGCGATACGAGGAGCTCACCAAAGACACGCCGGTGTCTTCGGCGAAGAGTCTAACGACTGATAAATCCTTGTGTCAAGACTTGACGATACGGATGAGCTGTGTCTTGAGCTACTTTCGTGTGGCTATCATATTTACTACTTAGATGATGAGGTTCCGCGGCTGGTCGCAGCCAAGTTGAGACTGAGCGTACGAAGCAAACGCCTCTGATACCCGTCGCGCACATATAACTTAGATTATCTCTTCGGCATTATACAAGCCCTATAATGAATATAGCCGTTAAGAAGTCTTCATATAAGCACTGCCACCACGTCTTTTTAACACTGACATCGGAGGCGTACTATACATATGCGTGGGATTGAAGGGTCGCACTTGATGATGTATCCGCCGGAACAAGGCTTAAACTAAACTATCGAGATATCTCACACTCACATGGCGTGATACGGATAGCAATGTGTGGTGTGCAATAAAAGACGCGTCGTCACCTATATTAAAATTGAACTAATTGTCTGGTTTACGGGATGGACAAGGATATTTGTAGGTCACCGCTGCGCGATCAATCATGCCCACTCGAGCAAATGTCAAGTTGCGAAAATACTCACTAAGGCAAGTACAATCAGTAACAGATTTGAAAGTGAGGATTCGGGAGAATGGGGGGTGCGCGGCGTCCGGGATGTTGAGGAAATGTTAGAAAGCAGTTGCTCCCCGGACTGTTACTAGCGCCTTCCTTATATACAGCCAAAATGGTCGCTCTTTCCAACAGCGGGTGCAGCCCGAGCGACTTCCGTCGCCCGGTTCGTGCTCCGTTCGTCTCCGTTGCCCGGTTAGCTCAATCGGTAGAGCGTGAGACTCTTAATCTCAAGGTTGCGGGTTCGACCCCCGCATCGGGCTCAATTCCCGGTGCCTCTCAGTTCACTGAGACTAGCAACGTTTTTTTTTTTCAACGGTACTGGTTTTAATTTTTTTTTCTTTTCTTCTCTTGCGTTCTTGCTTTTCCCATTCAAAATCTAATGTCTAGCCACGCTACACTAACTAATCACGGCCTCGTGGCCCAATGGCAAGGCGTCTGACTACGAGTAGAGAATGAATTCTCTGCGGCGATCAGGAGATTCTGGGTTCGACCCCCAGCGAGGTCAAATGTGTCTTGGATGGCAATCCTATATAACAATGAAATGAATGCTTAACGGTGATCCGAACATTCTGGGGTGAGACCCCAAGCGGGAAATATAGGTGGCCACAAAAAATTCCTTTTTTTGTTGCTTTGTTTGTTATTGATTCATTTTTATTAAGATGTGTTTCAAGCTATTGGCGGACAGAAAAGACTGTTCTCTTACTCGACAGTAAGTAAGTACTACAGTAAGTAGATATCTCGAGTTGCGCAAAGCAGCCTGCGTATGAATAATCGGTTAATTTCCCAACTTCACGTACGTACCCGGTGAATTAGTACCTACAGGTACTTGGATTACGTAGGTACTTAAGGTAGTAGGTAGGTAACCTTGGTAGGTACTTCGTAGGTTCTATTTTTAAGCTTGGGCTAAAAGCGGCATCACGCAGCTCTTATCACCGGCACTCTTCTAGGTAGCCTACCAAAGTACCTACCTTACCTACCCCTCCATCTATTCCACACATGCTCTCTTCTTACGTACTACAACTTCACGGATTGCTCTGCCTCCTTGCTGCCTCTTTCACTGGCTACACCTCATCCGCGTCACATCTTGCGCCCGTCGGATTCGAGACCTCGTATTACTATGTAGCGAGCTATCTGGGAGAGCAAAAATACAGAAAGAGTGACATCGCGAGACGACAAGGATGCCCAATTGGCGGGATGATTATCTGGCCTCGTTGCAAGAGGCCGAGCGCAACAATCCGGTAAACAAGGACCTCGTCGAAGCCTGTAAGCCGAAATCATATATCACTCATCACATCGCGTCATACCACAAAAATATCACATCTTGCCCGGATGATCTATCACCATCGACGTGAACGAATCACGACCAACCGCTACCCCTGAACGTGCGAGGCAAAGCAAAGCAAAGCAAGGGAGAACCGGCAGCGGCCATCCCGACACCTCCTCGCCGCCCCCTCCACGCATCACGAAACACATAGCCACCCACAGCAAAAGCTGACGCGCCACGCGCGCCCACTCCATAGGCTCCCAGCTTGCGGATCGCGTCGCGGCCCTCGAGGCTGAGAAGGCCGCCTGGGCCACCTCTCCGCCGACCGCCGCCACCGCCGCCGCCACGCCCACGAAAGCAGCGTCTCCGAAGCCCTCATCTGCTGCCAGCGCGACCGACCCTGCCCCCTCGTTCGAACCTGCCGCTCAGCTCCGCCTCGATCTCGCCGAGGCCCTGCGCGGGCGCGGCCAGGCCCAGACGCGACTCAAGGCCGCCGAGGCCGAGCTCGCGACCCTGCGATCTGCCAATAGAGTCGATGCCAAGCGCATAGCCGACCTGACGGCCGAGCGCAACGCCCTGACCGCGAGGGTGCGCGACCTGAACGAGGAGCTCGAGAAGAAGAAGAAGTTCCTCAAGGTACGTGGGAATCCCCGTAGACGCCGTCCGTGTCTGCCTGCTGGCTGGATCGAGGCTGTGCCATGTATGATCTTGCCGGGATTCGCTGTAGTAGCTGAGGCCAAGCTCGATGCAAGGGGCAAAAAAAAAAAACCACGAGGAAGGGGTTTGACATAGGGCTGGCGTCTACTTGTCCGAGAGCAAGCCGTTTCGTACTGACTGCATTGGCCTTTCTTTCTCCAGGATATCCAGGACGATAATCTCACGCTGAACATGGAGCTTAATATGACGGTGCAGAAGGCGGCTAAGGTGCAGGCCGAGAACAAGGAGCTTGTTGACCGTTGGATGAGGCGCATGGGTCGCGAGGCCGATGCCTTGAACCTCCAGAATGAATCCCCCAAGAGTCGTCGATGATGACAACGGGGCAACACACACACGCTAACAAAAGCGGAAGAAGACGGAGTAGAAGAGGAGGAAGCCAAACAAAGCGTGCGTCGTCAGTGCTATACATGGTATCATCTAGAGCTGCGTCATCTATGGTAGTAAGTGTCTAAAACGTTTGTCTCGCTCCCAAGTTCCAACCCGCACTTGCGCTCCGTCCCGCGGGCCTATGCAACCCTGGCACACTGCCATTTTCCGCCCGAATCTCCTCTCTCCGGGTGGTATAGAAGTACAAGTTACAGCAACTGACATCTCCCCCAGAAAGGGCCCAAAAAGAAGAAGAAAAAAACCCCCTACTCAGTTGGCCGGACCTTTTATTTTCTAGTGGAGATGTAGTACTCGCCATCGGACCCGGTCCAGCTCACCCAGTTCTCGTGATATCGGAAATGCTCGACGTCGAAGATACTCGTCGCAACATCGTTGATTGCGGTCTTGTTATCATGTACAAAGGACTTGAGAGATATTATCTTGCATCCCTTTTTCAGGTCGAGGAACATGTTGATGAGGGAGTCGTTCAGTGTCGACGTGAACGCCTTATTGTTCACGAGCACGACATCTGCCTCTTTGAGCTTCTCGAGGATCTTTGAGTTGGTCCGGAAATCACCCCGCTCGAGGTGAACCCTCCCCGGAGCGACACCCCAGAGCATGCACCTGGATCTGAACTCCCTCTCTTGGGCTTCCGCCAAGTTGCAAGCATTCTCCATCATCTCACACCCGTAGCTGCGGCATCCGATCTCGAGCGCCGCCTGAATAACGACATTTCCGACGCCGGACCCGAGATCGACGAAGACTTGATTAGATGTCATTTTGGTCTGCTCGACTAGTATCCTGGTGACGAACGGGTGTAACAGCTCCCCATATACGTTATCGCTCCCAGCGTCGTATTTGGTCAGCATCTCCACTTTGGGTGCCACCGTGCGGTCGTAGACCTGGGTGAGAATCAAGGAGACGAGGCTGGAGGGGAGGTGATGGATCCGGTCGAGGTTCTTGGCGACGGTACCGTTCTCTACCAGGGCTAGGAGTTTTGTGTTGTAGCTGTCTAGCGCTGCTCGGAAGGCCGAGACATCTCTGTACTTCTCGCTGACGGCCCGCTCCATCTGCCTCTTGAAACTCATGTTGTGATCGATAAAGGCCTTGGAATCGGCGTCGGTGAGATATGTCTCGGCCACGCACTCGATGATCGCGAGGATGTCTTTGACCGCATCGATCTTGTCCTTCTGCCATACAAGCTCGTATCTTTAATCAATATATCAAATTAGTACCAACGGTTGAAGACGTTTGCGCCGTAGACGGGTTGATGTGATGAATGAGCCTTACCGTTCTCGCGCGCAGCACGAGGGATACTGCACCTCGATGGCCACCTCGTCGTCCCTGGCACCGGCGATGACGGGACACTTGGTCGCCCGCGAGGCGATGTCGGCGGCGTGGATGATGTAGGGCTTCCGGACGCCGTCGCCGCCGAAGGCCTTCTTGTGGCGCAGCTTGCGGTCCACGTCCAGCAGCAGCCTGCCGTGGTCGCCCCGCCGCATGCGCTTGCGGAAGGGGTCGCCGTCGTCGGACTCGTCCGAATCGGTGTCGTTGCCGAAGGCGGGCGAGTCGCGGGGCGTGCTCGTGACGGCCGCCTTGCGCTTCCGCTCGAGCCGCCGCGGCTCGTCCGAGGAGGAGGGGTAGGGAGATATGCTCTTCGGCCGCGACGACGACGACGCGCCGGAGTAGGGGGAGAGCTTCTTGGAGGGCGGCGGCCGCGCGCGCACGACGCCGCCGTGGGAGTGGGAGTGGGAGGGAACCGGGCTCGGCCGGGGTTTGATGCTGGGCTTGCTGGGCACGACGACCTTTTCCACGCGCACGGTGGGCGGTGCGGTCTGGAGCTTCGCCTTCTGGCCGAAGAGCCCCATGGCTTCCTTACTCGCTTATTCGGGCTTTGCGCGGGGGGGTTTTTTCTTTTCTTTTTCGAGGCGGTTGCGGGAGGGAGGGAGACCAGATGGATGCGGCGTTGAGGATCGGCTCGGCTCGGTTCGGCTCGACGTCCGACTGATGAGCGAGGTAATATCGTTCGTTGTTTGTTCGTTCGTTTGTTCGTTCGTAGTTGGGGGTTTCGATTGTTTGTACACACAGCGAGCGCAACAGAGAACAAAGAACAGGAAAGAAAAAGAGTCAAAAAATTACATGTGCAAATGCGCGTTGTGGCTCTCGAGAGCAGCGTGTAGTGTGAATGTGAGGGTGAGGGTGAGTGTGGGGGAGGAGCCGATATTCCGCGAAGAAGGACGAGGCGTCCAGACAAGGCAATCTAAAGTAAGTGGTAGGTAGGCAAATTATCTGAAAGAGAAAGGCTGCGGTGCGCCCTTCGGTTGCGTAATGCAAGTCAAGTATCTATGTATCTATGTATCTATGCACTTGGGCCAAGAGAGAGAGAGAGGGGTAACTGGAAGACAGACACAGAGAAAGAAAGGGATTACAGAGAGAGAAGGAGATCAGGCGACACAATTGCTGGAAACGTAACAAATAATACCACCAGTAGGCAAATACATGTATGGAAGTAAGGTAGGTAGGTCAGTAAGTCGGGTGATAAAAAGAGAAAGTCATGCCGTGTGACATACCATGTTGGTAGTGTATGTACCTAAGATAAGGTAAACGCTAAGTAAAAGTACCTCTGCACGTACTTACATAAGCCGCTACGCTGCAATGGCCCGAGGGACTGGGAAGGGTAAGGTCAGTTGGACCAGTCGACTGGCCTGGATTGGGGAAAGCCTTTTCCTTGCCACTTTTCCTTTCCAGTGTTGCCTGGGCGCGTGCCACTGGTCAGGTCGGGCTGCCTGCGCCTTAGCCCATTTCGTATGGGACGCGGCAAAAAGTCAGGCTTCTCAACTCATGTACCCGCCTGGACTTATTACGTCTCCAGTCTAAGCAGGAGCGGTGCTGACCCTTAGCCTGGGTCTTTAATTAGGGAAACGGTCATTAAATCGGGATATTTTCTCAATACCTCCAAATAGGTGGGACTGCCACTAAAAAAGAAGTACTTCTTTTATATGAAATTTCTGGATATGCTAATAATGCGCTGTACGTACACGATCTATCGTTTATATGATAAAATTTGCTTAAATATGTACTTAAGCACCAGGTAGTATAATAAATTTCTCCGCTTTGACATGTTTGCACCTGATTTATATAATAACGCGTCAATTGGT